CAATGTGATTTTCTGGAATTTTTTTTCTTATTTTGTTTCTCATAGTTGAGGTATATCTATAATGAAAATTATAGGTATACCTGTATGCACCACTTCCCACTGCACTCCCATCCTTACATCTTAAATCTCTTATTCCTTCCTGTTTTTCACTTCTGCTGCTTACACATGAACCCAGAAAACTGAAAATCAACTCTTTCTTTTTTTTCTTCAACAACACCATGAATGTTACTTAAACATTGTTGCAAGCGCATTTGAGTATTTGAGGGCTGCAGCAGCAATATATTCCTTTTTAGTATTAGTATTAGTAAGAGGGCATTTTGCTCTCTTACAAAGCTAAATTCAAACGTGTGTAAGGAGATTACATTAGTACCTTTAGGAACAAAAATGAAAGTCTGCGAGGAGAAACGAAAACTCATTTAATATAGTCTGCAGTTATTCTAACCACGGTTAGAGTATGAGCTTAAATGCTGAAATGTATATTTGGTGCAGAAACTAACAAATGACGAAGCAGGTAATAACAGTACAATAATCAAGAACCAGGGTGAGTAAAAGATGCTTCTATGAAATTTACATATATTTGCATCACTTCGGTGGAATTACAGAAGTTAAAAGCTGAACATGTGCAATAGCACGTACACAGTTGAAGTTGAAAGCAGGTTAAAGTAGGTTTCACAGGATGTTGGGTCAAGCTGAGACAACCACAGCTGTAGAAACCAGCCATTTCGTCAACTTTCTCACGCTATGAGGCTCACTGAGCTGTCAGTATGGCTATATGTGCACATGTCTGTGTCTTCATGAAGCCTTTAAACCACTAGTATTGTCTAACTGTAATTGTTTCACAGCAGACTGATCAGTGAGCGTGATTCTCTGTTTTAGAAGGCATTTGCATTTTCTTTCTTTTATTGGTGAGTTTTCTTCTCCTCTGGGTCTATTTACAGTTTAGTATAAAGAAGAAGTTAATAAAAAGAGACAGGATACTTATACAGTATGTTCTTTTCTATTTTTTGTATAACACCTGAACTGTGACCACGCTCCCCCTTGTGGTGGCTAGTGGGTAATACACCACACTACAATTACTACTACAGGTTTTCAGCCATCATTGTATGTATTAACAACCAACACACACATTTCACACACATAAAAACTTTTTTAATTGTAATATGGAGGTAAAAAGGTTTTACCATACACATTTAGGGACAAATGTGTGGCTGCTCGTCTATAAGTTTGTTTCTGTTTATATCATTTCTGACCTCCATCATTTACAAAAGTTGCACAAACCAGGTTTTCTGCACTGTCACCTAACGCTCCCAGAAATACAATAATTTCATAAATGACTTCTCTGATTTTTTAGCTGGGATTATGCCCAATTGTGCTGTTTAGAGGGAATGTCATCGAGCAGAACACAGATGTGATGGATGGTCCCAGCACGGAGCCTTGAGGAACTCCACATAGCAGCTCTGTGGATTCAGACTTAATCTGGTTTGCAGACACATTAAAACTCCAATCAGATATGTAGGAAGAAAACCACTCTAAAACAGAGTCTGCCGTGGTTTTTGT